CACACACACTGTTCACTGTCTGCAATTTGAGCACACCCTCTTGCTCTTTAAAGAAGTCAGGAAAGAAGGCAACAGGATCTCTACACAATCTGTGGGACCTTAAAGCATGAGATCCCAACAATCAATCATTTAGTTCCTGTGTCTCAATCTCTAGATGTCTTAAGGTTCTAAATACCGTCATCGCCCTGATGACTCTCAAATTTCTCTCTCTAGTCCACTTCCTCCCTGAACCTCAGTGTCTAAATCTAATTGTCTATGCAACCTCTCCACTTGGATACCTAATAAAGATTTCAAAATCAACACGTAAAAAGCAAATTTCCTGACTTCTTTCCTCAAAATCTTTTCTTCTGCAACTCAGTTCTTCCAAGTTGCTCACAATGTCTTCTACTTCACACTCCACATCTAAAATATTCACAAATCTTATCATCTCTACTTCTAAAATATGTCCAGAATTCAATTCCGTTTTCATCACCTCAATCGCTACCACTCTGGATTATTGCTCCTGATATCACTTTTTAAAAAAAATACATATATCTTTATTGATTTCAGAGAGAGGAAAGGAGAGGGAGAGAGATAAAAACATCAATGATGAGAGAGTCATTGATGGAGCCCGCAACCCGGGCATGTGCCCTGACCAGGAATCGAACCCCCATCGCCTGGATCCTAGGTCGAGGCTCAACGGCTGAGCCACGCCCGGGAGGCCTGGTATCACTTTTCGCCACCTATTTATTCGCCACATATTTATTTTCATCTGGCTCCCTCTACATAATCTCTGGGAGACCCAGGACTTGTCACTCTCATTTAGTGCCATGACCCCAGTGCAACCGCTCAGACACTCCATAAACACTTGCTGGAATGAATGAATATTTTATACCACCACTTGTGCAGTCATTCCTTTTTAAAGGAATGTTTGGGTAGGTGAAAATCAATGATAGGAGACTTTTACAAATTAAAAATACCCTGAGAAAGCAGTGAATGGAAAACGGGGTAAACTGGTTGATGCAGCTTCCACAAGCCGCCCCGAGTCCCCCAGCAGGCAGGTTTTCCGTGTAAGCCGAAATCTCTTTGGGGCCGCTGGAGGCGCGAAGCTTCCCTCCACACCGCGCCCGCAGCCGCCCCCCGACAGCCTCGGCCCCGCTCTCCCCCAGCGCCCGCGAGCCCACGCGGCTCCGGCCTGGAGGCCGCCCGAACGCTCTGCAGGCCCTCAGCAGGCCACCGGATCCTAGGCCACACCGGGGACTTTAACTGGATAGTAAAAGGGGCACACTTCTCGCGGACATTCTCCGCTGTACTAGTAACTTAAAACCAAAAGGCAGGGGAGACACCTTCAACCTGGCTACCGCTTAAGGGGCAGAGAATACTTGGCAGAGGCGCTATTCCTTGCCAGCCCCTGATGTGATGCGAAGCGAAATGGGAGCCAGTTCCCCTGACCCAAAACGGCAGGTTACCCCAGCGCTATATAGAGGTGAAGATACGGCTGCTGGAAGAAGTCAAGGTGAGAAGAAGGAAAGCATCATTTTCTTCACCCAACATGTAGGCGGAGGTTACAGAAGAGAGACTAGGCAGAGACTGCAAAGCTTCCAGATGAAAAAAACAAGGGGCCTGACGAGGGTGGCCAAAGGCCACACGGACCTGATCCAAGATGGCGCCGGAGGGAGAGCGCGAAAGAGGCGGTGATTGCCCTGATCCAAGATGGCGGTAGCGATTGAGGCGAACCGATGGGCCAGGAGCGCAGGGAGCATCTTTGCCCTTCTCCAAGATGGCGGCGGCCGTGGGCGCTGTCCCTGGCTCCGCCCCTCGGCCTCAGCCCCGCCTCCCCGCCCCTCCCACCGCCTCCTCGCGGCGCTGAGACCCGGCGGTGGAGCTTGCGCTAGGAGTGCCAGCTCTGGGCATTTGACATGGCGGCGGCGGCAGCGGCAACGGCGACTGCAGCGACCAAGGGGGATGGGGGTCGCGGGGGCCGGACCCGGGCCAGCGAAACCAGCGGCATGCGGAAGAAGAGGGGCACGGGGCCTTTGGCCACGGCGTACTTGGTCATCTACAATGTGGTGATGACGGCGGGGTGAGGCTGGGGCTCGGGGAGGCGGGGAACGAGCCTGGCCGGT